CACACACACACACACACACACACACACACACACACACACACATAATACTGTTTCCTTAAAATGCACTCACAGTCGGGCGTAGTGGCGCACGCCTGTAGTCCCAGCACTCGGGAGGCAGAGGCAGGCGGATCTCTGTGAGTTCAAGGCCAGCCTGGTCTACATAGTGATTTTTTTTTTTTTTTTTTTTTTTTTTTTAAAAAAAAAAAAAAAAAAAAAAAAAAAAAAAAAAAGCACTCACATATACATACCTAAACTAGTGTTTGTAATCTTGTACAAGGTCTATGAACCAAACTCCCTTACATCTTTACAGTTATTTGCTTTAAATTTGGACATGTTTGAGTATGTATATTTGACTGATAGGGAAGGTCGTGTTAGAAACCATTTTTAAAAATTTTTATTATTTGGCGGTCACCTCCCTCTGCTTCCCTGGGCCTGCATGACAGGCAGGCCTCTCTCCGAACCTGCAGGCCTCTCTCTCCAGGGTAAGTCGATCCCACCATCAGTGCCTTGACTCCCCTATCCTCATTCACCCTCCCAGATCCCCTGCCGGTATCTCCTCCTCAGCTGGGACCTGTCCCATTCCTTGCCTTGGCGCCCCAGACACTGGGGGAACCACCACTGCTTCCTGATCCTTTGCATCCAGACCAACTCAGTTCCTTCTTGAGTCCCCAGGAGCACTCTGGGCCTGGCCCCGCCCTCACCTCTCTCTACTTCCCTGGGTCTGCATGACCGACCAGCCTCTTTCCTGGACGCCAGGGCTGACCTTTACTCTTCCTGATCCTCTGCATCCAGACCAACCCAGCTCCTCAGTGCAGTCCTCAGGAGCCCTTGGGGCCGCTTCCAGCCCCCATCTTCCTTTGCATCTCTGGGTGGCACAGCCATCAGCTGCCCTAGACAAGCATCTTTCCTGGGCCTGGTTCCCAGGCCAGTCCAACCCCCAAATTCCTGAGGCCAAAATCTTTCCTGGAGGGACCAGACCTTAGGAGAAAGCCTGAGAGCATCTGATCCTCATCTGACTTGGGCCCCCGTGGGAACTCCTGAAGACAAAAGCAATCTGGGCACTCCAATATAAAATCAAGAGAACCAGAAGCTTAGAGGAACCAGCTTTTCATGCCCAAAAAGTAAACCACAAAGACACATAAAGTTCCAAAAAGAAGCAGACCTAAACTTGAAGGCTTGAGTCTCACACAAGAATCAGAAACTACAAAAGAAATTCACATGTCAAAATCACAGAGAAAAAAATAATAACATGAAAAACCAAAATGATATATCCCCACCAAATATCAATAGTCCTCTAGAGGAATACAATGAGAACCTCCTAGAGATAACGCAGGACATGGAACTCAAAAGAACAATTATAAACATGATAAAAAGAATTCGGTGAATTTAAAGAACACACAAAAAAAAAAAAATCGAAGGACTGAGGGAAGATAGGGATAAACTTCTGAATGAACTCAGAAAAGAGTTAGAAATATTGAAGAATACTCAGGCTGAAATGAAGAAGGAAGTGAAACACTCTCTAAGCC